AGAATAATGGTGGAGGGATCACAATACCAGATATAAAGCTATATTACAAGTCCACTGTTTTCAAAACTGCCTGGCACAAGAACATATATGGATCAATGGAACAGAATAGAGAACCCAGAAATTTGAATTTAGAACTGGAAAATGGGGGAAACATCGCCCTGAAGCACCAGACGGCTGCCTAAGAGGAGGCTCTACCATCTGGGAAGGAGAGAGAAGGCACGCTGAACCTCAGGAACTGTGAAGGTGCGGAGAATTGCGTGTGCGCGAAAAGGCAGCCACAGGACTTTGCTGCTGGTTTGCTTGAGGAGTACAGAGAGGGTGGGCCAAGTTCTCTCCCAGCTTACTCCTGCGCGCAGAGAGGGCGGACAGCTAATGCACGGCTAGCTTTCTTGTTTGGGAGGAAAACAGAACCACCCTATTGCTCTGATAGATGGCCCCAGACAGGGAGAGGCCAGAGTGCAAGATCTCTCGGAGGTGTGTGAAGCCAGTGGCCATTACTGCGGGACTCAGAAACCAGACCCTCATAGGGAGGGGCTGAATAAAGTTTGTTTGCACCACCCCGAGACTCTGCCCCATCAAAGCGGAGCACAGAAGACTTTCCAGTGGCTAGATTTCTCGTTCGTTCGCCGCGAATAGGACTCTCCTAAGGGAGGGACAGACAGAAATCCAAAGCTTGTCTGTGCCTGTACCAAAGAGGTGTGCATGCCTGCAACCAATCTTGGGGGTTCACCAAAGCTTGGCTGTGCCACCCCGAGATTCCGCCCTATTTAAATGGAATACCCTCCTAGCTGAGACACCCTCCTAGCTGAGACACTTCTGATCCTCATAGCCAATTGGCTTGGAATTCAACACTTCCCAGTGATACCAACAACAAGCAAGGTTTAATAACAAGACTGCACACACAACCCACAAAGGGATACACCAAGACTGTCCACCTCAGGTAACTGGGAGGCTGGCCCACTGAACCATATAGGACACCTTAGCACACAAAGCCACCCTACCAACTCAGGGAAGCTGTGAAAATGCTGAGACAAGGAAACATCACAAACAAAAGAAATGGAGGACAAGAAGCGACTGGATATAGAATTCAAAAACCACGGATTTAAGATTTTTCAAGAATTTCCTAGAAAAGGCTGATAAAATAAACGAGACCTATAAGGATATGAAAGGGATCAACTAGAAATAAAGAATATATTGTCTGAAATAAAAAATATTATACAGAGTCTTAAAAACAGAATGGCAGATCACAAGAATCAAGTCAAAGATTTGGAACACAAAGAGCCAGAGGACACTTCTCCACAGAAGCAAGAAGACAAGAGAATCCAGAAAGTTGAAGATAGTGTAAGAAACCTCTGGGACAATTTCAAACGAACCAACATCAGAATTATGGGGTCCCAGAAGAAGAGAGAAAGCAAGATACCGAAAGAATACTGGAAGAAATGGTGACAGAAAACTTCCCCCACCTGGGGAAAGAAATAGACTTACAAGTCCAGGAAGCGCACAGAACCCCAAAGAAAAGGAACCCAAAGAGGACCACACCAAGACACATCATAATTAAAATTCCAAGAGTAAAAGACAAAGAGAGAATATTAAAAGCAGCAAGAGCAAAGCAGGTAGTTACCTATAAAGGAGCACCTATACAATTGTCAGCTGATTTCTCAACAGAAACCATGCAGGCCAGTTGGGAATGGCAAGAAATATTCAAGGTGATGAACAGCAAGAACCTACAACCAAAAATAATCTACCCAGCAAAGCTATCACTCAGAATCGAAGGCCAGATAAAGAGCTTCACAAATGAAAAAAATAAAAAAAGCTAAAGGAGTTCATCACTGCCAAATTAGAATTATATGAATTGCTGAAAGGGGTTCTTTAGGAAGAGGAAGAAGATATAGATAAAAATTATGTTCAACAAATACTTAACTATCAACAAGTGAAACTAAAAGCCAAGGGAATTAAAAAATCTGATGAACAATATTAACTGGTGAATATAATAGAAGGGGAGTGGACTGATGATTCTCGGGGAAAAGGGGTGTGGGGGTTGTAGGAAGAGCCTAAACAAAAACTGTGTAGCTATGCATGAGGACAATGGGAGGTAGGGAAAGGGCAGAGGGTGGGGTGGGATCCTGGTGGAGGGGAGCAATGGAGGGGGGAAAATGAGGAACATTTGTAATAATATGAACAATTAAGATTTATTAAATAAATAAAAAAAAAGTGAGCCTGGCTCAGGAAACAAGTTACAGAAACAGAGGAATGGCCCTTGGAACTTAGGAACTTATACTTATTGAAGGAAGACAATGTTTTCCCCTAAAATCAGAACAAGACAGGATGTCTGTTGTCATTCTTTATTCAACACTAAAGGCTTGGTGCACAAAATTTGTGCACAGAGAGGTGTGTCTCAACCCAGCCTGCACCCTCTCCAATTTGGGAAATCCTCACAATCCAGGATTGCTGGCTCCCAACTACTCGCCTGCCTGCCTTCTTGATTACCCTTTACCACTTCTGCCTGCCAGCCTGATCACCCCCTAACCACTCCCCTGACAGCCCAATTGCCCCTAACCGCCCTTCCCGCAGGTCTGGTCACCCCTAACCGCCCTCCCCTGCAGGCTTGGTTACCTCTAACTGCCCTTCCCTGCAGACATAGTCTTCCCAACTGCTCTCCCTTGCAGGCCTGTGTGCCCCCCAACTGCCCTTCCCTGTAGGCCCAGTCACCCCAAACTTCCCTCCTCTGCTATTGTGGTCACCCCTAACTACTTTCCCCTGCAGCCTTGATTGCCTATAACTGTCCTCCCTTGCAGGCCTTGTCCCTCCCAACTGCCTTCCCCTGCTGGCCTGATCACCCACAACTGCCCTCCTTTGCAGACGTGGTCCCTCCCAACTACTCTCCCCTGCTGGCCATCTTGTGGTGGCCATCTTGTGTCCACATGGGGGCAGTCATCTTTGACCACATAGGGGCAGCCAGCTTGTGTGTTGGAGTGATGGTCAATCTACATATTACTCTTTTATTAGGTAAGATAGAGGCCTGGTGCATGGGTGGGGGCCAGCTGGTTTGCCCTGAAGGGTGTCCCGGATCAGGGTGGGGGTTCCTTTGGGGATGTGGGACAGCCAGGCAAGGGGCCTGTGGTGGTTTGCAGGCTGGCCAATCTCTCTCCCCTCCACTCCCCCCCCCCCCAGCGACCCAAGTGGAGACCCTGGTATCTGTGGTTTATCTTATCTTCTATAATTGAAACTTTGTAGCATTGAACAGAGCAAAGCCTCCTGCTCACTCATGGCTGCTGCCATTTCTGTTGGGATTTTTTTACCTTCTATAATTGAAACTTTGTAGCCTTGAGTGGAGGCCTGGGCCCACCAGGAAGGGTGGAAAGCTTGGCTTCCTCCATTGCCAGGGAAACGAAGCCTCCTGCTCTCTCAGTAGCCACAGCCATCTTGGTTGGGTTAATTTACATACTCACTCTTGATTAGCTCATATTGTGACTTGTGGGTATAGCGGAGATATGGTCAATTTGCATATTATTTTTATTATATAGTATTGTACTGGAGTTTTCAGCCATTAGAAATTAATATATAACCTAAAGTATGGAGGCATGTAACAGATTGACATGATTTGATATGGGAGTGGGGGGAGGAGAGATAAACCAAAGAACTTATAGACTTATATGCATAGCCCATGGACAGGGGCAACAGTGTGGTGAAAATTTGGGGGGGAGGGGATTTGAGGCTGGGTGGAGGGGGGAAAAAGGAAGCCCTAGTTGGTTTGGCTCAGTGGATAGAGCAGTCAGCCTCCGGACTGAAGGGTCCCGGGTTTGGTTACAGCCAAGGGCACATGCCTGGGTTGTGGGTGTGGTCCCTAGGAGGGGGTGTGAAGGAGGCTGCTGATCAATAATTCTTTCTCATCATTGATGTTTCTCTTTTCCTTCTCCTTTCCTCTCTGAAATCAATAAAACTATATATATTTTTTAAATTACATATACTTATCACATTTGTCGGTTGACTATAGAATTTGATGATGAATAGAATCTGATCCCAGCCCTTGGGATGTTGCTCAGTGGTTGAGCTTGGACCCATGAACTAGGTCACAGATCCCCAGTAGGGGATGTACAGGAGGCAGCGATCAATGATCCTCATCATTTATGTTTCTCTCTCTCCCTCTCCCTTCCTCTCTCTGAATCCAATAAAAATATATCTTCAAAAATAAAAAATAATCTGATCCCATATTATTGCTACAAACTGGAAAAATTAACGGAGTAAACAGTAAATTAAAGCCAAAATTAATGAGTTTAGGTTTAAAAACCTACTGGAAGATTCAAAATTCTGCAAAAGGATTACTAGGTACCTACTGTGTGCCACGCACTAGAGATAGAGACATGCTTCTTTCTTAGAGGGGACAATTCCAGACACCCCTACCCCCCCCCCAAAAAAAAAATGGTCTATGCTAAACACGTCTTTCTGTGACCTCTCAGCTCCTTAGCACTTACTATAATCCCCTAGTCCGACTGTGTTAATTCTTTGGGCAGAGACTCCAAGGTTTGCGGTAATTGGCTGTCCAGTACCCTCCCCTGGGATGCCCTCTTTGGCGCCGCACCCTCCGGCTGGTCACCTGGGAGATAAGGGAGCTATTGGACGCGGAGACCCGCGCAGGGGCGTGTGAGGAGGAAAGCGCGGCCTGAGCCGGACCGCCTGGGAGGAACGTGAACGCCCTCTCCAGTCCGGGGGCGAGGGGGGCGGAAGCTTCCAGGCGGCTTCTCTGAGCAGGAGCGGAAGCCAGGCTTGGGCAGTCTGGAGGGTTGGGGTGTTTTTAACTGACTGGCTCCAAATCCAGTACGGAACAAGCCGTTTCCACCTGTTCTTCCCGCAGGACTCTCCAGCTCCTAGGAAATAAAGATCGCGTTCAAGGAAGCGTTGAGGCCGCCCGACTCCCCCGCTTCCCGCAGTAAAGATGGCGGCGCCCTGAAAGTACACGACAGCCAAACGGCTTCCGCCTTTCTCCTGCGCCCTTGCTCAAGATGGCGGACGAGGCCACCCGGCGCGTCGTGTCTGAGATCCCAGTGCTGAAGACGAACGCCGGACCTCGCGACCGGGAGCTGTGGGTGCAGCGCCTCAAGGAGGAATATCAGGCTCTCATCCGGGTGAGTGCGGCCCGGGAGGCGCTGTGGGGTCGCGTGTGCTCGGGAATAGGCTCCGTGTGGAAGCCATTTCCGGTCCTCAAGTTGAACCCCAAATTCTCAGAAAGCGGAGAAGCGGGTTAGGCGGGCGGGGACGGGGAGCAGGCAGAAGAGCCTCGCGTGGGGAGCCGGAAGCGCGCCCTGCGGGGCTGCCTCGGAAGGTGGCGTGTCGCTCGGTCCCGGGGCCGCCCTCGGGGCTGAGGGGCGGCCCGGGCCCCGCGATCCTCCGCCCGCTCACTCCTGAGGGAGCACGTTAGGGCCGAAAGTCAAAACGTGGCCGTTGCAGAACCGCGGAGCCGAGCTCGGCGTCAGCGACCAGCCGGGGCAGCGCGCCCCTGTCCGGGAGGAGCGCGCCGGTCCCTCGCCGGGCGGGGTTCGCCGGAAGCCCCGCTGTGCGCTCGTCCCTGGGGAGGGATCCCGAAGCCAATAAGGCAGGCCGAGCCGAGGTAGATGGGCACGGTTATTACGGGCTATTAAGACACATTAGCTCTGGCCGGTGTGGCTCAGTGGATGGAGCTCGGCCTGCGGACTGAAGGGTCTCGGGTTCGATTCCGGTCAAGGGCACATAACGGGTTGGGGCTGATTCCCCAGTGCGGGGTGCAGGAGCCAACCAGTCAATGATTCTGTTTTTCTCCCTTCCTCTCTGAGATCAATAAAGAGACAGTAAGTGGAGAAAGGGAGAGGGGGGCCGAGAAACTGCTAGAATGTTCTGAAGCAGGTGAGGTAGCTAATCCAGAGTGGGTTAGGGCAGGTTCCCTGGAAGAGGCGGTGCTTGAACTGAGACTTAACGGGTAAACACGAGTCAGCCGGACACAAGGCGAGGGTGGGAGGAGGGCTTTCACGGCAAAGGGAGCAGAAGACACAGGCATGGACGCTAGCAACGCTGTGATGTGTATGAAGAAACACAACTAGTTCAGAGTTGCTGCAGCATCAAATGTGTAGCACGGAGTGGTGGGCAAGGCTTGAGAGATAGGTCTGAGCACTCGAATTTTATCTTGGAGACTGGGATTCCTTTAAAAGATTTTCATTAAAGAATATTCTGGCCGAAACCGGTTTGGCTCAGTGGTAGAGTGTCGGTCTGGAGACTGAAAGATCCCGGGTTCGATTCCGGTCAAGGGCGTGTACCTTGGTTGCGGGCATATCCCCGGTAGGGGGAGTGCAAGAGGCAGCTGGTCGATGTTTCTCTCTCGACATTTCTAGCTCTCTATCTCTCTCTCTCCCTTCCTCTCTGTAAAATATCAATAAAATATATATTTTTTAAAAATTCTGGTCAGATTTGAGTTTAGATCAATCACAGTAGCAATAGAGATGAAAATGGAATTGACAGGAATAAGATTGAAGATAGGAGACAAGTTAGGAGTCTGTGATGAATCCAGGCAAAAGAAAGTTGATGCTCTAAAGTCTAAACTCTGCAGTTATAGTGAGAATAGAGGGGAGGGGTAGATTTGAAGAACATTCCGAAGGTAAAACCAGCAGAACATGTGAACTGTTGCTGGACTAGAGTAAAGGAGAGGGAGAGTCAAGCATTATTCTAGCCCGACTGGTGCGGCTCGGTGAGCATGGACCTATGAACCAGGAGGTCATGGCTCTATTCCTGGTCAGGGCATATGCCCAGGTTTCAGGCTTAATCCCCAGTGGGGTGCATGCAGAAGGCAGCCAATTGATGATTCTCTCTTATGATTGATGTTTCTCTCTTTCTCCTCTCTCTCTCTCCCTCCCTCCCTCCCTCTTCCCTCTTCCCTCTTCCCTCTTCCCTCTTCCCTCTTCCCTCTTCCTCTCGTTCTCCCTCTCCCTTCCTGAAATCAATAAAAAATATTTCTTTTTTTAAAAAAGGACAATTCCAGGTTGCTAGCTTAAGTGACAGTGAATGCTGATGTGGGGATCAGGTCAGAAGGAACAAAAGCTGAGCCTGAGGTACCTGTGAAACGAAGGCAGAAATATATAGTTGGAAACTGGAGTCTGAAGCTGGAGAAAACTCTTGGATTAAAGATAAAGATTTGGAAGTCCATCAGCATGTGGGTGCTAATCAAAACCAGGGCCATATAATGTCCTCTAGGGAGGGAAGACCCCATTAAACAAGTTGTGGGCTGGGGGCAGAAACTGTCAGAAGTGAGAACTCAGGTGGTGTCACCAGATCTTTTTGCTAAAGTGAATAGATCCCAAGCATTCTCTGCTCTGGGCAATTGCTAGTCCCCAGCTTACCAGTGTGACTTTATTTTTCCTTATGTCAGGAAAACTGGGCAAATGTACTAAGAAAGAAAGTAGTCACATAATTTTCTTTTGAGGGAAGGGGGACTGCCCTTGGCCTCAACTTCCGCCTCAAAGACCTAATTCTCTGCTTTTAGTATGTGGAGAACAACAAGAATGCAGACACTGATTGGTTCCGACTGGAGTCCAACAAGGAAGGGACTCGGTAGGCAGACCCTCTTGGGGGGGTATTGGGGTGGGAATCTTACATGGTTTTAGCATTTTAGTATCTCAAAGCTCACTGCCGGGCCATCCCTGCTTCATATTGGCTGTCCACTCCCAAGCTCCATAGCTTCCCAAGTCCTATCCCATGAGTCTCCCAGGCTGTCACCTAAACCAAGAAGATGTCCCTGGAATAAGAGAAGAATGGTCAAATTGGACTGAGGTTTGGTCTTTGTTATAGGTGGTTTGGAAAATGCTGGTACATCCATGATCTCCTCAAATATGAGTTTGACATCGAGTTTGAAGTGAGTATGATGGTGTGGGAAATATGGAGGTTAACAAGCTAACATTTCTTGAAAGGACCAAAGAAAATTTCCAATGGGAGGGAAAAACTGAGATTTGAAGCAAGCATAGGTTATTTACTCATCTCCAAATTCAGAATTCTGGTTTGCACATGCTGCTTGGGGAGTTTGCCAAACATGTCAGTTCACCTGAGAAATGTATGTGAGGTAACAATAGTTTCTGTATATGCTGATTCTCCTTTATAATTCCTCTAGATTCCTATCACATATCCCACTACTGCGCCAGAAATTGCAGTCCCTGAACTGGATGGAAAAACAGCCAAGATGTACAGGTAGGACTGAATAGGAGATGGGAAAGGGTCAAAAACAGGCTTGAGAGGAACTTGGGGAGGCGGCATTTTCCCAGAGCCTGCTGGCCTAGGGGGGCTCTAGGCCGCCCTCTGCCAAGCCTGCGCACTGCATCAGCGGACCTTGTTCCAAATTGGATCACTGGTAGCCTTGTGCTCCCAAGAGGCTGCTATGTTTCATGGTAAACCTTGCATGTAAACACCTTCTTCCCTCTGTCCCTCTCATAGGGGTGGCAAAATATGTCTGACTGATCACTTTAAGCCTTTGTGGGCCAGGAACGTGCCCAAGTTTGGACTGGCTCATCTTATGGCTCTGGGGGTAAGTTTGGGTTATTTGCTTCTCCCTCCCTCTCCCGTCCCCTCTCTTTCTCTCTCGCTCTAAAAAAATCAATAGAAATATAAAAAGGAAAAGTAACTGAGACTAAACAAGGAATAACAATGTTTTCCCTTGGGTGTGCTCCCCTAGAATCTCTCTAGGAAGGAGCTTCTGATAGAACAAGATGCACTGCCTCGGTGGCAGTAAGCTCACAAGTCTCCCTTGTATTACAGCTGGGTCCCTGGCTGGCAGTGGAAATCCCCGATCTGATTCAGAAAGGTGTTATTCAGCATAAAGAGAAGTGCATCTGAAGGATCAAGCCACTGATGCTGGACAGGGGACCTTTGAGAGGCTACGTTCCTTTTTCCTGTGTGTCCCTTATTCATCCAGTGCTTCCCTCACACTCTTTCACCCCCAACTGTTATTAAGTAGCTGCAGCAGGCATTGCTGAAAAAACCAACAAACAGTATTGCTCTGAATGTCTAGCAGGGAGGGGGAAGCCTGGGGCTTTGGAAACCAAAAGGCCACTTATGCCCCCTCCCCAGGGGGAGCAGTGTGAGGTCCTGAAGGACAGCGGGTGACAGAAAGCGGGTACATGGTCTTTTGGTTTTCGGAGATAACTCATCAATAAAAGCTGCTTCCTCCGTGGCCTGTGGTTCTCATTGGTGCTGTTCACAGCAGCCAGCCTTCCCCACCCGCAGAGACCTTCCCATGCCTGCCGCTGAGCCCTCCCTGCGCCTGCGGGCCACGCTCCCGTTGTCAAACCCACGCCTGTGGGCCACAGAATGAGGTGACGGGACCCCACACTTCAGGGACGTGGATGGCAGTGACGGTGTAAAGACAATTCTGGGCAAGGCTGGCCACCGGTCCTAAAGTTGGCTGCGTTGCCATGGTGTCGGGGGGCGGGGCCGCGCAAGCGCCGAGGAAGCAGGCGCGGAGTCAGAGTACGGCTGCGCAGGCGCCGTGAGCGACGCTGAAGCCGGTGGCGGCGGGACCAACAAAGATGGCGGCGGCCCGGGCGACGGTAGCGACCTGGGCGGCAGCTGCGCCTGAAGTTGCAGCTGGGCCTGCGGGGGTGCTGCACAGGGGTCGGGGGGGGCAGCCCTGAGCTGGGGCCTGGCCCCGGCTGGGCTCCCCCGCCGCACCCCGGGGACAGGTACGGGCCGCGGCGTTACGGCCGGTGTGGGGGGGATGCCCCGGACCTGGGAGGACGCCTCCGCCGCAGGGGACGGCGGGCCTGGGAGGACGGGCTGCAGGGGCCGCGTCCGGGGCCGTGGGGGATACAGCGCCGGGCTCCGGAGCCAATCACGGCCTCGGCCTTCCTGCCCCCAAGGGGGGAGGACCGGTGAAGCCCTGCCGCCGGGCGAGCGGGGCGACCCGGGGTCCGGAAGGCCCGCCCGCCCGCCTTCCGTCGCGACCCCTGAGCCTGACACCACGTTGGAGCTCGAGGGTGGGGGAGGGAGGCGTCGCAAGTCACCATTGAGTTGGGAGGGGCAGGGGCTGAGGGTGGGAAGCTGTGTTCCGGGCTGTGGTCCTTGCACCCACCCCATTGGCCCGAGCGCCCAAGAGGCCGGGCACCTCCCGCCTGCCTCCGCGGGGTGAGGCTTGTCAGCCGCAGGTGCCCTGATCCCAGAGAGAGCGCTGCCGCAGCCTCAGGAAAGCTGTTTCTGCAGGAAGCTGGTGAGGAATGGAGTCAACGCCGTGGGCTGCTGTCACCCATTCATTTATACTCAATGAATACAGCCACACACTTCTCCGACGCCTCCCCTCTCCAACAGTTTGGTTCTCAACCAAGTTGTCACAGAAAAAAGTCTGGGTTGTCGACCAAAAACTTCAGTTTTGGACCTGACAACCCTTTCATGCTAATACCGCTCCTGACAAAAAGCATCTCTCAGGCAGCAAAGGAAAGAATGCTTTTGTGATTAGCACATTTTTAAAACAAAGTGCTAATGTTGCTAAGGGTGTGGAAGTGCTCATAATAACAATCACAGGCAATTGAATAGGTAGAAAAATTTGTATAAAAGAAACGCAGTTAGACAGTGGTAGCACTTTAGAGGCAGTGATATATGAAAAAATTGTTTAAGGCTAATAGAGGGTGTTTTGATAAATTTAAGAAAAGAAGTGCTTATTTATAGATTAGACATTACTGTATATACTAGTAAGAAAGGTTAAAACATAATCATTTGGGGGTTTGGAGCAGATTAATTCAATTTACATTCTTTCTGATGGGAACAAATGATTCGGTTTTCTAACAAATCACTTCTCCAACAGCTTTCCAGAGGAATTAAGTTCAAGAACTGAAGTTCCAGTGTGCCATATAGTGGCTGGGGGAAGGGGCACTGCAACTCTCTATGCATTTACTTTGTGTCAAACGTTGTGCGAGGTACTGAGATACAATGACTGATAGGACATCTCGCTTCCGCCCTCAGCGCACCTAGAAGCTTGTATGTATGGTAGCTTAGGTTCCCCCTCCGTCCATATTCATATGCTGACCCTCTCTTCTCCCAGGTCCTAACTGTGGTGACCACAATGCCCCAGGCCTCTGAGCACCGCCTGGGCCGGACCCGAGAGCCATCTGTCAATGTCCAGCCCCGAGTGGGATCCAAACTACCATTTGCCCCCCGGGCTCGCAGTAAAGAGCGTCGAAACCCAGCCCCTGGGCCGAACCCCATGTTACGGCCTCTGCCTCCCCGGCCAGGTCCACCTGAGGAACGGCTCAAGAAACTGGAGCTGGGACGGACACGGACCTCAGGCCCTCGTCCCAGAGGCCCCCTTCGGGCAGATCATGGAGTTCCCCTGCCTGGCTCCCCACCCCCGGCTGTGGCTCTGCCTCTCCCAAACAGGACCAGCCTGACCCGGGCCAAGTCTGTGAGCAGCGGGGACTTGCGTCCAGTGGGGGTCGCCTTGGGAGGGCATCGGGGCGCGGGAGAGCTAGGGGCTGCCTTGAGCCGCTTGGCGCTCCGGCCTGAGCCACCCACTTTGAGACGCAGCACCTCTCTCCGCCGCCTCGGGGGCTTTCCTGGGCCCCCCACCTTGCTCAGCATACGGACAGAGCCCCCTACCTCCCATGGCACTTTCCGCGTGATATCTGCCCGGCCCTCCAAGCCTTTCTACTCCGATGACAAGATGGTGAGGATTTGTCGGCACGTGTGGCCTTCCATTCCCGTGTCCCTCCAGCTTTCTTGCCATCATAATCACATGGCTTTCCTACCCCCCTGTCCCAAGTTCCTTTCTTAGCCCCTCATTGCAGCACTTGGACTGTTCTCTCCCTTCCTTATCTTTTGGGGTTGTCTGTCACTCCCCCACATGGTGCGCAACTTCAGTCCCCAGGGATTTATCCCAGCCATTTGGCATTCCCTTTAGGTCCCCCAGGCCCCTATCTCCCTTACCTTCTCTCCTAGGACACTGCCTAGGCCTAATTAATCTCTGGAGGTGAGGAGGGGCGGGCTCAGGAATCTGAGCTAGTGTGGTCGCCCATTTCTTGAGCAAGTGAGCTAGGCTGATTGCATTTGAAGCCATCAGGAGGGGCCATGGGGGCAGGAGGGGACTTTGGTCACAACAAGGTGGGGGTGGGGAGCAGCTGGGCAACCATGCCAGTGCTTGGGCAGTTGCCCTGGGAGCTACTTTGCCAATTAGCTGGGCAGAGGAACAAGTGGAGAACAGTGGGACTGGCATGGCTCAGCCTGTGGTGCACACACCTGTGATGGGCTTACTGCTCATGTCCAGTGAGGTAGGGAGACCCTCATACCCAGAGGGAAAGAGGGTAGAGTTTGGGGTGAGGTATGAGAGGGGGGTAAAAGCAATGGGCAGCTAAAAGAAAGGTTAGAGGGTCACGTGGGCTATGTGGGAACCTGCTGACTCACTCTGACCTTCCAGGCTCATCACACACTGCTTCTGGGCTCTGGTCATGTTGGCCTCCGAAATCTGGGGAACACGGTGAGAGCCATTCTCCTGCCCTTCCTTCCTCACAGGAATGGGGAGCGTGCAGGGCGGGACGTGCTGGCTGGGGGGAGGGGCACTGCAACTCTAGGTTCCCTGGGCCTGGTCTGGAGAGATAATGGCGGTGTCTCTGCTGCTCCCTAGTGCTTCCTGAACGCCGTGCTGCAGTGCTTGAGCAGCACTCGGCCTCTGCGGGACTTCTGCCTGCGAAGGGACTTCCGGCAAGAGGTGCCTGGAGGGGGCCGAGCCCAAGAGCTCACTGAAGGTGGGGCTATAACTCCTCTTCCCCCCAACCCCTTGCATGTCCAACTGCCAGTGCCGCCCCAGCCTCCAGTCTGGCAGTTGTATCTTCCTGGTACCACTGTGTAAAGGCTGTTCTGCCTCAGCCTCCTGCTTGCCTCTTCTAACCTGTGTCTCCCTTCCCCACTCCCTCCCAATAGCCTTTGCAGATGTGATTGGGGCCCTGTGGCACCCTGACTCTTGTGAAGCAGTAAATCCTACTCGATTCCGAGCTGTCTTCCAGAAATACGTGCCCTCCTTCTCTGGATACAGGTGGGAGAGCTGGAGGGTGTGGAATTTCTCTGGCCGTGTCTGGGGATAGGACCAAGCAGGGGTCCTGGCAGCATTGTCCTGAGCCTTGAGGTGTTCTTAATCCAGGAAGAGGGACCCGTGTGGGCAGGGGACAGTGTCTGTGGACTAGGGGATCAGTTGCTCATACTCTTTGGCTGTAGCCAGCAGGATGCCCAGGAGTTTCTGAAGCTCCTCATGGAGCGGCTACACCTTGAAATCAACCGACGGGGCCGCCGGGCTCCCCCAATCCTGGCCAGTAGTCCGGCTCCCTCTCCACCCCTCTGTGGAGGGGCTCTGCTAGAAGAACCTGACTTAAGGTAGGATTGCTCCCACGCCCTTTTCTCCCCAGGAGTCCACCTTCCTTCACAGACACAGCTAGTCAAGGCTGAGGTGTAGGGTCCAGGAAAACGCATGGCCTAGAAATGGGTGAGAAGCAGTGCAGAGCGGGAGGCTGGAGCGAACGGAGGCAGAGCAGTGCTGGGATGTCCCCATGGAGGAGGAGGGAGAGGCCCTTTACAACAAGGCACTAACGAGCCCGAAGCGAGGCAGGGAGACAGCGTGTTCTTTTTTGTCTGCATCCCTTTACTTTCCTCTCCTCTTGGCTTTCCCCAGAAAGTCCTCAGAAGCCTTACTCCCTCTCTTCCTTGAAATGTAGAGAAGTGGGGGTATGGGTAGGGCACAGGGCTCTGGATCGTTTCAGGGGTGTCTGGGTGCCCACTTTTCCTGCTCTCAGGGGTGCTTCCCATTTCCCTTCTGTGGTAGTGACAATGACCGGGCCAACCTAATGTGGAAGCGTTACCTGGAGCGAGAGGACAGCAAGATTGTGGGTATGGAACAGGGCACAGCAACAGGGAAATAAGTCCGCGAGGGGGTGGGGGACCTGGAAGCCGGGAGAAAGAACATGATACTAGCAAGGGCTGTGGGAACAAGCTGGGTGATAAAAACATGGGAAAGGGGTGAGGGGCTTGTTAGGAGTGTTGGTGATGGGGAAGGAAGGTCAGGCAAAGGGGTGGGAAGAGAAGAATCCTAGCAAGCACCGTGGCCTCTCCCAGTGACTTTCTCCTGCCTCTGATTGTCTAGACCTGTTTGTGGGCCAATTGAAAAGTTGTCTCAAGTGCCAGGCCTGTGGGTATCGCTCCACGACCTTCGAGGTTTTTTGTGACCTGTCCCTGCCCATCCCTAAGGTGGGATTTCAGAGGGTTCCAGGGGTGGATGGGACATGGGTTTGGAGACCCAATCCTAGCTGCCCCCAGAGGTGGGGGGAGCCCTTCGGGTGTGTGGAGGAGACATGAAGCCTGGATTGGTTAAGAAGAGTTGGAAAAGGGAATGCAGAACGTGCTGTCCCTTCATTCCCCTTTCCCTCCAGAAAGGATTTGCTGGGGGCAAAGTGTCTCTGCGGGACTGCTTCAACCTCTTCACCAAGGAAGAAGAGCTAGAGTCGGAAAATGCCCCAGTATGTGGGGTTCAAACGGGATGTGATAACATTGGGGGCTGGGGGGGAGGGTGTTCCATATGGGATACAGGGGTTGCATGATACCTTACTATGGGGAATGTGTGTATGTCTGGGTTTCTGTTGGTCTCAGCTAAGTCCTAGTGCTTGGGGCAAAGAGGGGCCCAGAGAATACAGAGTTAACGGGAGGAGTAAATTGTATGTGGCCAGAGTGTCGGAAAAGCCACTCGAGGTGAGGAGCATAACAATCTAACATTATTTGATATTTATTCAGGTGTGTGACCGATGTCAGCAGAAAACCCGAAGTACCAAAAAGTTGACAGTACAGAGATTCCCCCGAATCCTCGTACTTCGTATCCTAATCTTCATATTCTATTTCTTCCATCCATTCTTTTTCTCATTCCCCATGTTTGCAGAGGCTGGATACTTGGCAATTGAATTTCCTTAGGAAAACACCTTGCCTGCCATGCTCCCGGTGTTCCTTGGGGGAGGGGAGTGGACAGCATTCAAGACCTCAGTCCCCTCGGAGCCCCCACCCCCACCCCCTCTCACTGCTCCTTAACCAGAGCTTAGATCTGAATCGCTTTTCCGCCTCCCGAGGCTCCATCAAGAAAAGCTCCGTGGGTGTGGACTTCCCGCTGCAGCGCCTGAGCCTGGGGGACTTTGCCAGCGACCAAGCCGGTGAGTGTTGGGAAGGCCCTGGGAGGCCAGAAGGGGCGCGGGCGCCGGCCGGCGGCGAGCAGCTCCCCCGGCCTCTGCCTCCGCAGGAAGCCCCGTCTACCAGCTGTACGCCCTGTGCAACCACTCGGGCAGCGTCCACTACGGCCACTACACCGCCCTGTGCCGCTGCCAGACGGGCTGGCACGTCTACAACGACTCTCGGTGAGACAGCCTCCTGGTCCCCTCCGGGCTGTGCCCTCCTGCGCGGCCGGGAGGTCTGCATCCCTTCCCTCCCGAGGCCGAGGGCGACCTGTGGCCAGAAGGAGGTGCGGGAATGAGCAGCCCTCCCGCCCCTTCCCCAGGGTCTCTCCGGTCAGCGAGAACCAGGTGGCGTCCAGCGAGGGCTACGTGCTCTTCTACCAGCTGGCGCCGGAGCCGCCCCGCTGCCTGTGAAGCCAAGCCCAGCCCCCTTACCTCACAGACGTCTATTTTTGTGTCTTTTTTCATGGGGAGGCGGAGGGTGACTGTAGCTCCCTTTTTATTTTATTAAAAGTACCCTTCCACCTGGAGGGCCCCTTGTGTCCCAGCCCCTGTACAGAGCTCCCAGGCCCCGCCCGTGTACAGCCCCGGACTACAATCTCACTTTTTGTGAATAAATTTATTAAGAAAAGAGGATGTCCTTGTGTGTACTTTCGCGGGGCAGGATCTTCGTAGGCGCGTGGGGCTGAAGAGGGAAGGCAAACCTGAGACTGGTACGGGCGAAGGGGCGGCCCCTCGAGGCCCCAGCCCCCTGCACCCGCGGTGACAAACGCGGGGTGCGTTGCCCGGCTGCCGCTACCGTCAGGAGCTGCTTACCGAGCCGCGTCCGCCGGCCGCCCGCGCCCCAGCCACTTCCCGCAGCGCAGTGCGCGGGGCGCCTCCAGGCTCCTCCGCGGCCGGACCTCGCGCTGCCCCGCCCGCTCCGCCCGGACCGGCGCCGCGGCTGCCCAGCGGGGTTTCCATTGGCCAGCGTCACCCCACGGCCGCCAATGGGAAGCGGGTTGCTGCGCAGGCGCGACCTCAGAGCCGGCCGTGGGGGCGGGGCGCTGGGGGGCCGCGCCGGTGCGACCCGCGCTGAGTGGAGCGCGCGATAGCACGGGTGTGGCCGTATCTTCCCGCGGAGCGCGCGGGAAGCCTCGGTCCTGCACCCCCGGGGCCCCCTCACTTCCTCTCGTGCGTCTCTTGGGCGAGTCTGTGCCCCAAACGGGGCCTCGCGCTCCCACCACCGCGTCCGCGGACCCTGCCTCAGTTTCCCGCACAGCAGTGGCCGGGGCGGGGAGCGCGGTGCGACGCCGCAGAGAGGGAGCCGGTCAGCCCTCCGTGCCGCCCTTCTCAGCTCCCGATGGGCCGGACCGTGGTCGTGCTGGGCGGAGGCATCAGCGGCTTGGCCGCCAGCTACCACCTGAGCCGCGCCCCCAAAGCCCCCAAGGTAAGCGCCCGGCGGGAGGCAGCCCCTGATCCCCTGGGCCGCGGCCGGCCCAGCCCCTTCCCCCGGCGTCGGAGGCCGCGGCCACAGTGCCACCCCCCTCCAGGTGGTGCTGGTGGAGGGCGGCGAGCGCCTGGGAGGCTGGATCCGCTCCGTGCGAGGGCCCGGCGGCGCCGTCTTCGAACTCGGGCCCCGAGGAATTCGGCCCGCGGGGGCGCGGGGAGCCCGGACTCTGCTTCTGGTGAGGCTGCGGGTGCCCGGAGAGGAGGGGTCCTCCAGAGGGCAGGGGGTGCCCATCTGGTGGTCGGTTCTTCGTTTCTCCCCCCGGGGACGTTCGGGGAGCAGGTGTCTGAACTGGGCTTGGCCTCAGAAGTGCTGCCTGTCCGCGGAGACCACCCGGCTGCCCGCCACCGGTTCCTGTACGCGGGCGGGGCCCTGCACGCGCTGCCCGCCGGCCTCAGGTGACGCCCGCCGCCTGCCCCCGCGGATGGGAGCGAGCGCCCCCAGGCCCCTCACCGCGTGCCTCCCGCAGGGGGCTGCTCCGCCCGTCGCCTCCCTTCTCCAAGCCTCTGCTTTGGGCCGGGCTGAGGGACCTGACCGCCCCGCAGAGCAGAGACCCTGACGAGACTGTGCACAGCTTTGCCGAGCGCCGCCTGGGACCGGAGGTGCCGCTGCCCAGAGGCCCGCCGCCCCCCCCCCCCCCCATGTCCCTGGGAATGTCTCTCATTTCAAACTCAACTTTGGAGGGCGGGTGCCTCCAGGACCCTCTCCCCTTCTGATGGTGGGCTGCTTCGGAGCCCAAGCCCGGCTGCCCCGGGGCAGCTCGGCAGGGCAGTGCAAACCAGGGCGCCCACCCCTCTCGCCGCTCAGTGCCCTCTCACCGCAGGTGGCGGCTCTGGCCGCAGACAGTCTCTGCCGCGGAGTGTTTGCAGGCAGCAGCCGGGAGCTCAGCGTGCGGTCCTGCTTCCCCAGCCTCTTTCAAGCCGAGCAAGCCCATCGCTCCGTGTTACTGGGGCTGCTGCTGGGGACAGGTGAGGGGCGAGGCTCGCGGGCTGGAGGCCGGAAGGGCTGTCATGCTGCTTCTCTCCTTCCTCTCCTTCCTCTCGGCAGGGCAGAGCTCACAGCCAGACTCGGCACTCATTCGCCAGGCCCGAGCTGAACGCTGGAGCCAGTGGTCACTCCGAGGAGGGCTGGAGATGCTGCCCCAGGCACTTACCACCCACCTGACCGAGAGGGGGGTCACTGTTCTCAGAGGCCACCCGGCCTGTGGGCTCAGCCTCCAGGCGGGACGCTGGAAGGTAGGAGTGCCCCGTAGAGTGCAATGAGCCTGAGTGGTAGTTTCCATCTTTGCCTAAACGTTCTGTTGTGTTTTTTAAGCTTACTTTAATTTATTGATTTTAGAGGGGTGGAGAGAAACATCGATTAGTTGTTCCTCTTATTTATGCATTCATTGGTTGGTTCTTGTATGTGCTGTGACCCAGGATGGAGCCCACAACTTGACATATGGGGACGATGCTCGAACCAAAAGAGCTACCTGGCCAGGGCTTACCTAAATGTTTTAACCAAGCCCGGGCTGGCAGACTGGAGCTGCTTGTTTCCTGCCCTAGAAGCTGTTTAAATGTGGGCCTTATTTGTGAACCTTCCTCCGAGACCCTTTGTTCCAAGTCTGTGGGTAGACAGCTCCACTGAACAACTCAGCGTGGACACATTGGCTGTCTGGCCCCCCTCCCTGAGTAAGGGGGTGATTTCTGTGCCAACTACCAGGCTCTCCTGCCACGTGTGCGCCCAGGAAGCTGAGGCAAAATTCCCATGTTTCAAATGTGCTCCTACTCAGGTGTCTCTGGGGGATAGCTGCCTGGAGGCCGACCACGTGATTAGTGCTCTTCCAGCTTCAGGTAGCCACCTCCCTTCCCCACCCAGGGTGAGGCAGGCTGTGGTTTCTGGGCCAGTAGGACCATACCATGTGCCAATTGCGCATCCTGGGGCAGGCTAATCCCAAGAAGGGTGGGTGAAATTGTGAGGGAAGGCCTTCTGAGCAGCCTCTGCCGGCTCCCCCAGTGCTCAGCAAGCTGCTCCCTGCCGAGGCCGCACCTTTGGCGCGCGTCCTGGGCACCATCCGGGCTGTGTCTGTGGCCGTGGTGAACCTGCAGTACCAAGGAGCCCAGCTGCCAGTGCAGGTGTGACACGGGAAGGGGAGGTGAGGGCCCCGTGGAATCCTCCCCCTGACCACCTCCTTCCTCAGGGATTTGGACATCTGGTGCCATCCTCAGAAGATCCAGGCGTCCTGGGGATTGTGTACGACTCAGTTGCCTTTCCCGAGCAGGACGGGAGCCCCCCTGGCCTCAGAGTGACTGTGAGGAGGCAGCTTTGCTTAGTTGGGTGTCCAGAGGGCTCCTGTGTGCCCAGTGAGGTCAGGACTCCCTTCTCTCTCAGGTGATGCTGGGAGGTTCCTGGTTACAGGCGCTGGAGGCCAGGGGCTGTGCCTTTTCTCAGGAGCTGTTCCAGCAGCAGGCACAGGAAGCAGCTGCCACACAGTTAGGACTGAAAGAGCCCCCGAGTCACTGTCTGGTCCATCTGCACAGGGTGAGTGGACGGGTGCCTTCAGCTCCCCCTGGAGGCATCTAAGGCAGGACTTGGCATTTCTGTGACGTCAGAAATAAACTTCTTTTATCTCCTCCTCTCTGCAGCACTGCATCCCCCAGTACACACTCGGCCACTGGAGGAAACTGGGTGAGTTGGGGACCAGCTGGGCTGAGGGGAGCCAGGAGCTCCAGCCCGCTGATGCTCCTTGTCCTCTGCAGAGTCAGCTGCCCACTTCCTGGCTGTTCACAGGCTGCCCCTGACCCTGGCTGGAGCCTCCTATGACGGAGTGGCTGTCAATGACTGTATAGAGAGTGGGCGCCAGGCAGCAGCCCGGTCCCTGGGCTTAGAACTTGACCCATGATCTCCACACCTCACCTTGCTGACCCTGCTGGCTGGGCCTCACTGGGAAAATAAAAGTTGTGGGAGACTGGCTCGGTCTGATGTCCTGTCATGGGCATGGGGAAGGAGGAGGTGCAGACAGGCAAAGGGTGCCTGAGGTGCAGAAAGCAGGAGCAACGGCGAGACTGAGTCCTTTATTAGAAAATATATCAAAATCCAGCCCCCTGAGCCAAGAGCCAGAGCCAGAAGGGGGGTTGCTCCAGCCCTGGCAGAAAGTGTTCGGGAAGGGCTCACGTCACCTTCACATCCTGGGTCCATAAATAGAATAAATATTCACAGAGGTCCCGGAGAAGCTGGGGCACTCTTCTCTCCATGGAAGAGGAAGGGACTTGGGGTCCAGCCCTGCTCCCATTGCAGGGGCAGCGCTCCCAGGAGTCACCACATACAATCATGACATCAGAGATTCACAGTCATAATCCTGGCAGGCGCCCTACAAATGGCCCCCAGGTCTAGAGGAGCCCAACTCCAGTCCAGCAGGGAGAGGCCCCGGCCCAGCACAGCGTAAGTGGCGCCCCAGTCCTCTAAGAGCAGTGGGGAGCTGAGGGCGGGGGAACAGACCCCTCTGGATCAGCTTCACGACTAAAGGTAGGCAGGAAGGAGGCGTCAGTGTGGGCCGTGTGGGGCTGTGTGGTTGGCAGTAGGCAGAGGGCCCAGCCTGGCTGGCGGCCTGCGCTGCAGCATCTCTTGGCGGAATGCCTGGGAGGAGCCAGGTGGGTAACGGGGGCCAGAGGGAATCCGGGGACCCCGGGGGTCAGTTCCAATGTCTGCTGTGACATTGGTATAGAGAGGGCCCAACTCTCGAGCCAGCAATCGGTAAGTCAGTGAGTTCATTCCATCTTGTGTCCAGGAATTCTGGGTACGGATCAGGAGGTCAAATCTGAGGGTTAGAGGTTAGAGACTAAGACCCAGGAAGAACAGCCAGGAATCGAGGGGCCTGTGGGGGTTCTCTGACTCGAATACAGAACCGGAGGGCCCCGTCCCACTGCCCAGCAGCCCCCCTGCCTACCTGTGTGGGTTTTCCTCGTTGCCCTTGTCCCCTCGGTGCTTCACCATCTTATAGTGTCCCACAGACGTGGGGGGGCGAGAGATCTTCATGCCAGCCAGACGCACCCTGTGGGAAGAGGGAGGAATCTTGGCGGGAACGGCTGGGTGCCCAAGGGGAGCCCGGGCCAGCAGGAAGGGAACACTACTGCAGTCAGGCAGAGCGGACTGTTTCTCGTTAGTGCCAGACTGGCAGGGGGAGAGTCAAATGGGAAGGAGGAGATGGCTGAAGAGAACACAAGCCCTCAGGGCCTTGCACCGGTGCCCTGGGCCTTTCGGAAACTGGCCGCTCTGTCAACACCGCCCTGCTTGCTCCCTAACGGTCCCGGGAGCTGCTCTCCTGCTGGAAGGGCACGCTGAGCAGCCTCTATGTCTGACGTGCAGGACAAGTCGGAGTTGCAGGTCCAGCTCAGCAATTCTTCCTTAGAAGACAGGCTGAGCTGCTCGGCCTCCTTTGCCTTGCCCCCTCCAATGTGCAGGGTGGAACCAGGACCTGAACAGAGCCCAGCCCCACCTCTAACACAGGAGCAGGACGCGGAGGGGGCCTGGGAAGCGCACATTTAGAAACTGCTGGGTGCTTCACACTTAACAAGAATTCAGAGAAGCCATTCAGGACTCCAGGGCGAGGAGGCAATGGATCTGTAGATCAAAGCCCAAATGCTCAAATCACAGGTAGGAAACTGGGTCAGCTGAGACTGAAGGTCACATGTTCCACAGAAACAGAATGATTCTTGGTCCTGAGTGCCTCCTCCCGTGGCCACCAGGAAGTGGCCCCTTTCTGCTCTGGGGTCCAGAATACTGCCACCTGTTGATCTCGGAGGCTGAGGGTGGCAGTGGGGGCAGAAGACAGGAGAGGCATGGCACAGTGCAGGTTTTGGGTGCAAAGGTTAGTGCTAACGGGCTACAGCCAGGGGGCCCTCAGAGCGCGGGGATGCAGGCTGGGGAAAGGCAGGGCTGACCTGGTAGCAATGTCATCATCCTCACCACCCCAGCCCCAGTATTCATTAGGGAAGCCGTTCATCTTCAGGTACTGGTCGGGAGTGAGCGCTGAGACCCCTCCAAAGTACTGGGGGTATGGGAGGCTGGGGAGAGAAAGATCCTTGGGTTCCACAGGTCTTCTGGTATACATCCCTTCCACAGTCCCCTCAGTTCGCCTGCTTCCCAGCATCCTCTAATGCCTCTACCTGTATCCAAACTTGTTCATGGCGACGGCCACGTGCCGGGGCCCGCGGGGATCGCACACGTACAGATTGTGGTCGTTCTCTGGCAGGAGGTCCACGTCGTGCAAGAACAGGCAGTCCCACTCTTCGTCACGCAGGGCCTCCCGGACCCCCACGTTCAGCAGCTTTGCCCGGTTAAAAGTTCCGTTTCCAGCCTGAAAGAGTGCGGAGGGCCTGACTGTCGGGGGCATGGAGAGGCACTGAAGCATAAAAGTAAAAAGAGGGCCCTGCCGAAACCGGTTTGGCTCAGTGGATAGAGCGTTGGCTGCAGACTGAAGGGTCCCGGGTTCGATTCCGATTAAAGACATGTACCTTGGTTGCGGGCTCATCCCCAGTTAGGGGGTGTGCAAGAGGCAGCTGGTCGATGACTCTCTCTCATCGATGTTTCTAACTATCTCTTTCCCTTCCTCTCTGTAAAAATTCAATAAAATAAAAAAATACATATATATATATATATATATATATATATATATATATATATATAAAGTAAAAAGAAAGAAATCAAAGTGGGATGGGGGACAAAGAGAATGAAGAGATAGACGATCTAAAAATTTCACTCAACAAAAAGTATTTTGAGCAACAGTGTGTGCCTAATACTTACATGTTGCTGTTTAGCATTAAATCTGACAACCAGCCACCATGTGAATGGGTGTCTATCAGTCACCCCTCGTCTCATTGCAGGAGGTTAAGTGTCTTGCTTACGGCCACATATGGAACAAATGGCAGAACTAAAATTTTAGCCCAAATCTGTCCAATTCCAAATTGGCACAATTCAAAACGTAACAAAGGAAAGCCCTGGCAGTGTGTGGGGCCAGGAACACCCGGCAGCGAGCAAGAAGAATGGGCCAGAGCATGGCCAGCAGAGCCAGGGATCTCCCACTTTCACAGCCAAACCCTCTGGTCCTCGGGACCACTGTGCGAGTGGAGTGGCACTGACGTGAGGCTTCGGGGGGGGGGTACCTGGTGGATGACGTAGATGCCGTAAGCAAGCTGCTGGCGCTGCAGGAAGGGGTGCAGGTGGTAGAGCAGCAGGCGCAGGTGGTGCTCCCGGCCCCGGTGCGGCACGATGACGGCTGTCCGGGAGCGGGGCTCACACCCTGCGGGGCGGTACCGGCCCCCTGCTTCCACCCGGGGGTTCCTCTCCACAATCTCTGCCAGCGAGGGCACTGGGTTGAAGGACACAGACACGGGACCCACTGTTGGAGGAAATGACAGTCACGGGTTAGAGGGTCAGAGGGCGAATAAGGACACCGGAGATCAGGACCACCTCTGCCGCTGGCACTCTGGTCTGTGGCTCCACAACCCCGGAGGACTCACGCAGAACACGCACGAGCCTGAGCTCCCATCACTGGGACAGTTCGCCACACCTGGAAGGAGCAGGCTCCTGGCGGAGCCTACCTTCTCCGTGTAGGCTCATGACTCCTTCACAGGGTGGAAGCTGCCGTTGGGGGTTGGAGAGAACAGATGGGCTTCCAACCAGTGACCTACATCAGGGCGCTTCCACAAAGGAGGCACTTCCTAACCGGAGGCAGGAAGAGGCCTGTCCGAGAGCAGGCAACAGAAAGCTCTGACTCAACTCCAGAGCCCAATCCAAACTCCAAATCAAGTCCATCTCAACCTCAGCCCACTTTCCAAAGACATCAGCCTCCTGTTCTAAGTCCCTCTCTTGGCCCTGAAACCCTCCTGGCCTTCCCCTCGCCTGCACCTTGCTTCTGCACTCACCTAAGAAAGGAGACCGTTCTGGACAGTACGGCAGACCTTGAGGAGCCAGAGGGCCACCCGGGGCCACAGCAGGGGCCCCTGACAGGTGGCTGAGGTTACTGTAGACATCGTGGGGATGAGAGTAGTCAAATGTGGGCCCCTGCTCTCGGCCAAACAGGGCACTGAGACTTCGGAAGCCCCCCAACGACAGGTACATCATGACGGCCAGCTGGGAGCCCACGAGCAGGGCCAGCGTGCAGGGCCGCTCCAGCAGCCGCCGCAGCATCCTGGACTGAGGTCTGTGAGGAGAGAGGAGAGCTCTGGGCAGGCAGGGGCAGCACAGCAGCAGAGAGCATCATGGAAGAGGGAAAACACGCAGAGGAGCTGGTCACGCGAGGGAGCACACGGGTGTGCAGTCCTCATGGGGGAAGAGACAGGCTGTTGCCACCAGCAGCCCCACCACCTTTCCCAGCCCAGGTCTCACCCTCCTCCAGCTCTCCTACCCGCTCCTGCACTGCTCTCAGTCCTCACCCTCAGGTCCGTGGCAGAGGAGTCTCTGGAGAACCTTGCTTCCAGTTCAGAGGAAGAGACTCACCTAGGTTCAAGCTGTCTTCTTCCAGATCATGGGGGCCCTGGGGGTCCCGGGGGAGCAGAGATGTGATGCATTATTATCTAAAACTGGAAATGTCGCAGAGGCCGGCAGGCCAGCGGAGCTCCTGGGACCAGCTGGAACACAAGGGGGCAAGGATGCACTGGCCGCCGCGGAGAGGCCAGAAGGCCCGAAGCGGGTTTCCAGCAGGGGACGTGAGGGAAGATGCTGGCTTCTCCCACTGGAGACCCGGAGTGTCCATTCCACGCTCACCCATCCCGCACCCAACAGAACCAACCTGTTCGGGGAGTGGGGACAGGGCGCTGATGGAGACAGTACGTCCGCCAGGGGGTGAAGCAGCAGGGACGGCTCTGTGGAGTGGTCTCTAGAGAACAGGGCGGAGCAGGAAACGGCTACTTTCCGCTCTTCACGTGCCGGGGAACTAGGTCCGCAGGTGCAGGGAGCGTGACCACCTGGGAGCTGCAAGCACACGCCCCGGCGCGGGGGGAGGGGGCGTCCCAGCCTCCGCGCGGGCTCCGGGCGGGAGGAAACGCAGGGCGGCTCCGGACTAGCTTCCCCGGAGGGTGTGGTTCCCACCCTGTGCCTCCAGCGTTACCACCCAGTGCCTGTGGGCACCCCTCCCACCCGAACTCCTGCTCGCGCCCGGCCTTACTGGTGCGCCCGCCCGCCGGTCCACACTCCGCCCGGGACCCGCTCCACTCGAGTTTGTCTGCAGCCTTTGCTCCAAACTTCTCATCCTCCCGATCGCCGCACGTTCATGCGGCCTCTCGCCCTCCCTCCGCGGCCCGTACCTGCTCTGCGGCTTCCCGTGCTCACCGCCGGCCTGACAGCCGGGCAGGCGCCTCTGCCGCCATCTTGGATGCGGGCGGGGGCGGGGCCGCGCTCGGGGCGGGGCCGCGCTCGGGGCGGGGCCGCGCTCGGGGCGGGGCCGCGCTCGGGGCGGGGCCGCGCTCGGGGCGGGGCCGCGCTCGGGGCGGGGCCGCGCTCGGGGCGGGGCCGCGCTCGGGGCGGGGCCGCGCTCGGGGCGGGGCCGCGCTCGGGGCGGGGCCGCGCTCGGGGCGGGGCCGCGCTCGGGGCGGGCGGTTCCCGGGGTGACCGCCTGGAGCTTGCGTCCCCCGCCGCTTAGCCTTGGAAACTGGCTGCCAGGCCCAGAGGCGGCCCTGCGGCTCTCAGTGGCGCCCCTGCTACCTGGAGCCAGTTTTGTTTTGTTTTGTTTTGTTTTAAATCAATCTTTATTGTTCATATTATTACAAAGGTTCCTCATTTCTTCCCCCCTCCACCAGGTTCCCACCCCACCTTCCGCACCCTCCCCACCCCCCATTGTCCTCATCCATAGGTGCACAGTTTATTTCAGTCTCTTCCCGCATCCACCACTCCCCCTTTCCCCAAGAACTGTCAGTCCACTCCCCTCCCATATCCTGACTCTACTACAATGAACAGCTATTATTGTTCATCAGGTTTTTCAATCTCCTTTTTGTTGTTGTTGTTGTTGTTTTTAATTAATAAACTTTTACACTTCTAAGAATAAATTTTAAAATCTAATAATTTTAAACCTTGGTGTGTTTTTTTTCTGCCCTGGGAATTGAGAAGCAAACTTGTTTACATGTAAACTTGCCCTTAGGCTATCAAAAGGTGTAGCCATTCAAGTGTAAATGGACACATTGTTTAAAGATAGCTGCTGGATGGAATTGGATTACCTGTTCTGGGTGGGAAGGGCTTGTCCTCCCCTTTCTCCATTAAAATTAAGGTGTTAGCTTTAAAACCTCTTTTTGGCAAGAGACCTTAAACTTTCAGAACTTCAAAATTTTCAGATAGTAAATCAGTTACTTAGCATTTTCTCAAATCAATAATACCTCCACATGCCCAAGGATACACTTCACACAAAAGACATTTCCAAATAGATCAACCTACCTCATCCAGACCCCACACAAGGCACTCACAGATCAACACCCCAGCCCTATACTACTAACTCAACACATCCAGATCTAAGCCTTCATCACTTGATTCAGCAGACCCTCAAGTTCCCCCAAAAGTTTCCAGCCATGTCTGAGAGGCAGCCGTGGGGCAGGGGCAGGCGAGGAGCGAGATGTTTCGGGCCTGGCTGCTCCGGGCCTGGCCTCTGTTGCTCTGGTCCGTTCCACAACCAGCTGCTCCGGGTCTGGCCACTGCCGCTCCGGCCTGGCTGCTGCTGCTCTGGGCCTGGCTGCTCCCGACCCGGCTGCTCTGGGCCCGTAATAATAACAATTCTTGAGAACTGATTATCGAGAACTGCTTATCAAAGTTCGAAATGACGAAAACATTTTGTCATTGTCTCTCAAACGATACACATCGTACTGCATGCTAGTAAGCTAGTTAAACAAGTGATGTCATTATAAAGCAGCTATTCAGATAATTTAGATAAGTAATTTATTTACTTATTTCATAAATACATAAATTTTCTTGAATTTAGCAGACAGTACTTTATATTTTATAGTAGCAGCAAAAAAGTCTAGTGCCAGCCTTGAAAGTGACACTTAACGACTTACATTACAATTAAAAGCCATTTTATGTGTGAAATATAATTGAACAAATTCTTGTGAAAATTTCATGACCTTTTAAACGACAGCAATCTACTAAAAAAATTCACTCAAGGGGAGGATCCAAAATGGCTGCTCGGGTAGACATCTAGCCGCGGCAGCACACAACAATTTCAATGGAATACAACTAAAATGTAGAGTGGACATTGCCCAGAGCTACAGGTAGTCGACTGACTGAAATTTCTACAACAAGAAGGAAAGAGAAAACCAGAAAGAAAATCAGAGGAGCTGAAAAAAAGCCTAAGGTACGGAGACATGCTGCGCGCCCGCCCGCACGCGCGCACGGAGAGGTCGCAGCTGGAGAGGAGGAGAGGGTGGGGAGCTGCCTTTCCTTCCCTAGCAGGAAGGAAATAAAACCTCCAGCCTGGGCTGAACCCCCGAACCGGCAGCGCTGAGCCCCCCCGAACCGGCAGCGCTGAGCCCCAGTTATGGGCCAGACCCTGGGGACCCAGGCTCCGGCGGGAGGAGACAGGGCCGTGAGGCGGAAAAACGGCGAAAGGCAGGGCCCCGGGAGTCGTGCGCAATGCGCGCAGAGGACTGAATGTTGACTCTGATGCTGGGTTACCCTAGCCGGAAGAAACAAGGCCTCCGGCGGCGCTGAGCCTCAGTCCGGACTGCTCCGAACCCCAGTTCTGGGCCAATCCCTGGGGACCCAGGCTCAGGCAGAGGGAGACGGGGCTGTGAGCTGGAGTCCGGGGAGAGCGGCGAAAGGCCGGGCCCCCGGGACTCGCGCAAACTGCGCGCAGAGGACAGTCTGTTGACTCTGATGCTGGACTTCCCTAGCGGGAAGGAGAAAAAAAAAGCTCTAGGCTGGGGGAACACGGAGGGGAGCGGAAGCCCCTGCCGGACTCCAGCCAACTGGGCACCAGCAAGGAGGTGGGCCACGGGGCCCCTGGGGGCGTGGGTGCCCCTGAGCCTTTGACCACTAAGCTCGGGCAATGGAGCCAAGGCCTGGGGCTGCTTCCTGGGCGGCGCCATCCCGGCAACAGGCTGAAGCAGCACAGGAGCCCGCGGAGAACAAAGGGGTGCCACAGGCCAACCTGCTGAGCTCCCAGGACAAGGAGGAAGAAACCAAAGAAGTTCTCAATGTGAAGAAATCAAGTGAGAGCAAAAAATAGTAAAATTACTTAAGAAAGAATACAAAGAAGTTCTTGAAAAAATCAAAGACTAAGTCAGAACTCAACTCACCAGCCAACATTGCAACATAAATGCGTTTTAAAAAGAAAAAAAAAAGGACAGAATGTTGGAACAGCGACGGCCAGGCCTAGAGTGTCCAGGCACAAGGCAGTGGCAGCCAGGCCTGGAGCAGCAACGGCCAGGCCCCAGAACAACAGCAGCCAGAACCAGAGCATCAACAGCCAGCACTGGAGTAGCCAGACCTGGGGCAGTGGCAGCCAGGCATGAGGCGGAGGCGGCCAAGCCCAGGGTGGCCAGTCCAGGAACACCCAGACCCGGAGTGGCCGGGCCCGAAGAAGCCGGGCCCAGAGCAGCCGGGGTGGGAGCAGCCAGACCCAGAACAGCAGTAGCCAAGCCCAGAGCATCCAGGTTGGGAGTGGCCAGGCTCCGAGCGGCCGGGCCCGGGGCAGCGGGGCCCAGAGCAGCCGGGTCAGGTGCGGCCAGGCCCGGAGCAGCGGCTGCCAGGCTGGGAGCGGCCAGGCCCGGGGGAGCAGGCGGGTCGGGTGCGGCCAGGCCCGGAGCAGCGGCTGCCAGGCTGGGAGCGGCCAGGCCCGGGGGAGCAGGCGGGGCTGGTGCGGCCAGGCCCGGAGCAGCGGCTGCCAGGCTGGGAGCGGCCAGGCCCGGGGGAGCAGGCGGGTCGGGTGCGGCCAGGCCCGGAGCAGCGGCTGCCAGGCTGGGAGCGGCCAGGCCCGGGGGAGCAGCCGGGTCGGGTGCGGCCAGGCCCGGAGCAGCGGCTGCCAGGCTGGGAGCGGCCAGGCCCGGGGGAGCAGGCGGGTCGGGTGCGGCCAGGCCCGGAGCAGCGGCTGCCAGGCTGGGAGCGGCCAGGCCCGGGGGAGCAGCCGGGTCGGGTGCGGCCAGGCCCGGAGCAGCGGCTTCCAGGCTGGGAGCGGCCAGGCCCGGTGGAGCAGGCGGGGCTGGTGCGGC